TTAGCAGGACTGGGGAAGTGATTGTCCTGTACTCGGCACTGGAGAGGCCACACCTCCAGTTCTGTGTCCAGTTCTGTGCCCCTCACTACACGAAGGACATTGAGGTGCTGGAAGCTGTCCAAAGAAGGAAAACAAAGCTGGTGAGAGATCTTGAGAGTAAGTCCTATGAGGGGCAGCTGAGGGATTTGGGTAGTTTAGCCTTACCATTCACTGCAACCATCAGAAAGGAGGCTGTGGCCAGGTGGATTCAGCTTCTTCTCCCAGGCAGCCAGAGACAGAACACGAGGAAATGGCCTCAAGCTGCAACAAGGAAGGTTCACATTGGACGTCAGGAAGAATTTCCTCCCTGAAAATGTGGTCCAGCATTGGAACAGGCTACCAAGGAGGTAGTGGAATTACCATCCCTGGAAGTGTTCAAGAAATGACTGGCTGTGACATAGTGCAGTTAACGTGGTGGTATTCGGTCACAGGCTGGACTAGATCTTGGAGGTCTTTTCCAACCTTAATGATTCTATGATTTAATATATATCATACATACAGACAGCCTCAGAATCCCAACCAGGGAACTTTTCACTAGATCACTACTTATTTCAGCATTCAAATCTGAGTCTCAGTGAATCATTGCAAGTTTTACCATGTAACGTATATCAACATATTAATAACAGCTCTGATGATACATCCTATAAACTCCCAGTAGAAGCAAAATTTTTAAAAAATTGAAAGCTCACAAGAACGAATTATGAAAATGCTTTAAAAGCATTTCTAAACTTCTGTTGGTGGGAGAAAAGAAAAAAGAAGTATCTAAAAATGTCTGAGCCCAGCCCCTTTGCTCTTCCCCATGCTCTCTATCTGCTCACAAGGAACTATATTCCCACTGTTGGTATTAAACAGCAAACTCTCTCATCCCTCAGTGGACATTATTTGAGCACTATTAAGTCATCAAAACAGCAACTCAGGAGACCTCATGGGAGTACTTGCTTTCTTCCTTTCTCATATTTAGAAATCAGAGGCTATGCTGAAAGCTACTATAAACATCTCTATTACCACTAACTTAGCTTGGCTAAAAGAGATCCAAAAAGTCTGAAAATAATTTCCACAACCAGTTTTTGGCCTGAACATATTTATCATGTCACCTCTGTTCTGACTCTCAAAGCAGCTTTCACCTCAACACATACAAAACCAATCTTCATAGAAGCATTTGGCAAAATTTAGCAGCAATGAATATAATTCAGCAAATTAAATATAAATGTTTCGCCATTCCTTACATTTATTTGTATTGATTGGCCACTGAAAACAGTGAATTTTACACTCTACAGGACAAAAAATGACAAGAAAACAATGGAGCACAGGAGTTTCCATACACAGAGACAAGATCACATTATCCTTTTTAATGGAACAAGTCAAAGGTCGCTGCTTCAGTGGTGACAAAGTAGGATACGTATGATGTACACACTTTTTCCAAAAGTCTTCCATCAGGTTTTCCTATGCAAACTCTTCAAACATGCAATTTACTGGATTTTTTTTTTTTTTAGCTTATAGAGACATGGCTATATCAAGGCAATGTGTTAGCATTTGCAGTTTAAACCTCTCTGTGTGTCCAATCTGAATATTTAAACTGCCTATTGTGTAAATAACAAAATGTAGCTTCTAATCAATATCTTTAATCTGCAAGGCCCTTCAGGGTTGGTTTCATTTAACACATCTCACATATCCCTGAATGCTACACAAATTTCTTAGTTCTTTACAACTGCTTCCTTCAAATGGATTTATAATTAGGCATGAATTTATCAGAAGGAAAATTGGGAAAAGAAGTTGCAACTTGTCCACTAACACTACCTGGTTCACTTGAAATCTCAGCTGTGCAGCTGCCTCTCCCACCCATAGTGCACGGCCAGGGGACAGCTGCAGCCACTGCTTTTATACCTCACTCCTAATGGAAACAAATACTGAGAGCCCGTCTGACCTTTCATATCCCAGTATACCACCTATCTGTGAAATTTAACTTTTTTTTTTCCAAGGACAGATATGAACACTCCTTTGCCAAGATCTTTGCTCTCCAAAAATCTGTTTGTGAACTGAGATGTTTCCCCTCATGCTGCACTTCACACCTCAGAGGAATTGCAGTGAACATGCAAGATGTATTTTCATTATGCTTCTCCAAACCAGTTCCTAAAAGTCTTTTTCCAATAATGTATATGAAAACAGTAATAAAACTACTGAGCCTAGCACAGCCTTGCTTGCTTTTTTGGATGCCTCATCTATATGTCTGCATCCACTGTTCATCCCTGGGCCTCTACTTTTGATTACAAGCTTTTTGGGAGATTATCTGTTCAATAGCTGTGTACTCTGTACCACAATACATTCTGAGAGACTCTTCTAATACAAACAATTCATAATAGTGAACAATTTCACCCTTTCACTTGCTAAAAACATGGAAGCAAAAGGTCTAATGGTTAGAAAATTGAGATATATTTCTTCAACAGCTGATGTTACCTTCAGGAAGAAGTTTAGCACAGAAAGAACTACCCCTGGGCCAAAATGTGGAAGCACACACATATATATGCATTCATGTCATATTCCTTGGTTGTTACCAACACAGAGATTAAAAGATTAAAAAAATATATAAAATCTGTCCAAAGGTTATTACAGAATATGATGCAAAATTGGAGAAATTTTGCACCCTGTTTATGGTCATTTTTCTCTACTCTTACTTTTGTACTCCAAAGTGCTCTCTCCAGCCATGCTGGCAGAAAGCTGAGCCTGGTGTCCCTGAACATGGATACTGGAAAAATCCCCCTTACTGAACATTGTATACACCTCCTTTTATTCTGTGCATTTGCCAGGGATTATAACTTGAGGCTGCTCTGGCTTTACTCTCAACTTCACTTGGTAAGTCATATACAAATAATTTCCAAAATAACTACCAAAGCTATCAAAACCAGCAAGATTTAAGGGGTTTTTAATAACCAGCAACCTCAGCCATATGCAGAATTGAGCTTTTATTGCTTTTAAATAGACTTTCCATGAAAAATATTATTCTTTCAGGAGTAATTCCATCACCAGTTTATTCCAAATCCTCAGAGATTACAAAGGTTAACTCTTGGTTTTTCCACAGTACTTTCTCAATGTTTATCAATTAATACAATAACAGATTTCAAAAAGTATATGGACATGAACAAGAAAGTGCCATTTGCTTTTTATAAATGGGGCAGATACTACAAGCCCACCTTCAGTGGCAGACTGTGATTTGGGAGATCTTTCAAGAAGAACCACTCCCTAGCTTTGAGCAAAGCTGGAACTGAGCAATAAAGCTACAGGCTCGCTGCTCCAGCTGGTTGGGCTGAGTGAGATGCAGCAGGAGTGGTTGGGAAATAGGCAGAGCTGTCCAAAAGCAGGTCCCAGGCTGTGCATGTGCACCTGATGCATGACTCTAAAGAGGGGAGAAGTAGGGAGTAGTTGGTACAAACCAGTATGGTCTGACTTCTGTAAGTGAGCGGCTAATTTGGGAGCCTGTGTTGGTGGCTCCTACCTTACTTTTCAGTAGCACCAAATCCAAATTTCTCTGTCTAACCCAAGCAGCTACCAGAAACCTGATTAATACCTTTGGGCTGCACTCATGTGCCTGTATCAACAGGCCAAAAAAATAACAGTTGCTGGACAGAAGCACCCTGAAGGGTAGGGCTGAATTGCAACTCTAATTATTTTTTTATTCTTCTCACTCATGAAGCAAAGAGTAATGGAGGGAGGCAGCAGGGGTGAGAGGAAGCAGGGTAGAAATGTAGCTCATAAATATGTCTTGAGTCATCATACTGTTTCTTTGCTTGCCTTTGAACCTATTGTAAACTCGTATTTGCAGGCTTTTTAGACCTAGTACAAAACATTTACATGAGATCAGTATCACTAAGCTCACTAGTATGGGAGAAAAAAAAAAACATCAATACGAGTTGCACATAGATGCAAAGCTTTTCTGCAGAAGTTTCCGGCAAGAACAATGCAGTATGAACCAGAACATTGTAACAGGTGATTTCCTACCCAAATTTTGCATAGTTGTTTTTATATCTTAAAGTGATATAAGCGATTATATCAGTTTCTTGTGAGCTTTTTAAAGCTTAAAGCTCTCCTTACCTTAATGTAGCAGTGAAAATTAAAGGAAGCTAAAATTAGCAACTTCCTCTTTAATTTAACAGGCCTAAATGATTGATTAGTAATATCACTTCTTTGAGACTTATGGGTGGCTGTGGTTATTGAATGCAGCAAGAATGAATTCTGGCAGCTCATGAGATCAATCTGCATATCAATGTTATCAGGTACTTTTAGCAGTCATTATAATAATTTAGAGATTTTATACAGATCACTCTAGAATTAAAACATGTTCTCAAATAAAACAGAGGAAATAACTAGTATGGACTAAAGCTAAAACACAAAGAAGGCATGAAAATACTTGTAATGGCACATGTAGTATTTTATTGCAGCAAAAATTAGGCAGTTTAAGCAGCAGGAGTCAAGTAAATCCCGCTGGAGTGTTGACGGGCCAGTGGGGCCGGACACGGGAACCTCGGTGGGCAGTGGCGACTCGCCTCTCCTCCCCCCTTCTTTCCCTGCTTCCCCTACAGCTGCGAAGGGGCCACAGACACGGCCCAACATTGCCCAGAGCACAGTCCCTCCGCTTTTTGTTTCTGCTGCCTGTTGTTGCGATGCCACAAACGCTGACAGAGGCCGGTGGGGCGGGGGCCGCGGTGACAGCCGGGCACCGCAGATGAACGGGGAACCGGGCGCGGCCGGGCCAGCGCCCCGGGAGGGCTGAGAGCCCCTCGGGAGGGCTGAGCGCCCCCCGGGCGGCTGCCAAGGCGAGGCAAAGCCCACCCCGAGCCCGGCCCGGGCTGCCCGGGGCTCGGCAGGCTCCCGGCGCGGCCCGCGGGGCGTGTCCCGGGCAGCCCCGCTCCGCCCCGGCCCGGCCCGGCGGGGCAGCGGCGGCGGACGGGGCAGGGCCGGGCCGGAGCCGCGCAGCGGCGGCAGCGCCATGGGGCTGGAGACGGAGAAAGTGGACACCCGCATCTTCATGGACGACGACGACAACTTCCCGCGGAGCGGCGGCCCCGCGCTGTCGGAGGCGGAGAAATGCGCGGAGGACGAGCTGGACCGCGACCCCCACGGGCTGAACTCCCACCTGCAGGTGCGGGCCGGGCCGGGCCGGGCCGGGCCGGGCCGGGGGCGGGCGGGGCCGGGGCTCGGGTGCTCGGCGAGGGGGGTCCCCGGCGGGCTCCCCGCGCCCCAGCTCCCCGTGACGGTACAGCCTCTCTTGTTCTAGCTGGGCTTCGAGGATGTGATCGCGGAGCCCGAGCTCACCCACTCCTTCGACAAGGTCTGGATCTGCAGCCACGCTCTGTTTGAGCTCAGCAAGTACGTGATCTACAAGGTCCTGACTCTGGTCCTCGCCATACCGCTGGCCCTGGTTGTGGGGATCGTCTTCGCGACACTCAGCTGCCTCCACATCTGGTAAGCGAGTGCCGTGTCCGTCGGTGCCTGGGCTCTGCCCACAGCTCCGCACATCTCTCCTCTAGCATTCCTCACTGCCCAAACACCGATCGGCGACTTGACACTAGTAGTCAGATCAGCTAAGATGAGCTGCTTCATTTCTAAAGGGACAGAAAAGGAAATTGTGTTTTCTCTGTGACTGAGTTCCCTGCCTTGGTTTTACCAGCGGTCTGTCGTGACTGTATAAGCTCCTTGGGGCAGAGAGCCTGTATTCCCACTTAGACGGCACCTACAGCAATGCATTCCAACCTTGGCTGGCTTCTGGAGTGATAGTAGTGACTGAATTTGTTTTTTAAACTGAAGTGCAGAATTTGTTCGAACATGTATTTTAAATTAATTATCCAGGTAGAAGTATTACTAACACCTGAAGTTATTACTAACTTCTTAGTGCCGTTACCGCTTTCATTTTTTTTTTCTCACAGATTGAAGAAAGCTTCTGAGGGCCCAGCTGGCTCTATGTTACTGCCATAAAATGTAGTGCCAGTGCCTTGCATCTGGTACATACCTATCTGTAGATGCAATGCTCCAAAGCCCTTCCACCTAAGCAAAACACCCTGCTGAGCTCAGGAAAGCTGCTTCTGGCCATGGCTCAAGTTCACAGGCAAATACACTGGCTGTCCAAGTCACACCAAACCTGTGTACTTTAAGCATCATATACTCACCAAATATCAGGAATAGTACTTTGAGACCAAAAAGGGAGATAATGGAAGAAAAGGAAGAAAGGCAGGGAGAATAATGAGGTTGAGGAAAGAACTGACAACCCAAAAGGCTGTAGAGGAAGGGATGAAAGCAGATTATTGACATTATTTCTGCAAACCAGGATTTTCTGTATAGATGAGTTTTGGGCAAAGTCTAATTTGACTTGGGTTACACTGGAATCCTTTAACTTTTATCAAGGAAATGAGAATACAGAAACTGGAAATTAAGTCAAAACCCTAGGAATACATTGATTATCTGAACCTGTGGTGGCAATCTCATGGATGCAGATTTCAGTTTTTGAAAGTGCAATGGAAGCTTGTGTTGGTGACGTTGTCAAGCCCCTTTGAAAACTGATTAACTTGAATTTTGGAGCACAATGTTTGCATAATATCCAAAGCAGTTGCAGTGTACTTTAGAGATTCACACTTGCTACATCTCTTGTTCCCAAATTGTTACAAACAAACAGTGCATAAGCATAGTGTTGCCCAGATTTTTAGATCTGTCAGCTGTCACTGTGCCATAGTGTGCAGTGTGACTGCAAAAGGGTATGGTGAGTATATGTAGATTTCCAGTAGTGAAATATCTGTGGAAAAATTCATCAATGCCAAATTTTTTAAAACCGCAGTACTTTTTTTGTGCTTCAGAAGGATCTTGTATCTGGCTTTCAGAGACTCTGGATACAGAGTTTCACTGATCAAGGACTCAGAGGACAGTTACTATTTATGAACATACTCCCTAGTGACTATCTCAGGAACTGTGGGTTCCCAGTACATGTGAAATAGGACTGTCTGAATGTAGAACTTCATTTGAAAAGTTTCTCTCGACTTTCTGTGAACACACTTGCTTCCCCAGCAAACCGTTTTCTTTGCCCGGGTTCGTTGTCAACATAGAATTGATCTTTCGTTTTGATCTTCCTTGCACCTAGGATGGATGTGAAAGAATCATGTAACTCAGTAGTGTTATCTGCATCCCCTTGGACTCCATCCAGCGCTACCATCCAAAGGCAATACTGTCTCATATTCCCATAGACTCAAGCTGGATTTGTTCCAACACAAAGGTGGAACACACTAAGCTGGCATCTCTACATCTCTTCGTGTTCCAGATGTCATGCGAGTGAGGAGTTCAGCATTTCTGCATTTGCAAAAGCAGTGCACATTTAGAGGCCCTAAACATGGGTACTAGTTCCCTTGTAGGCCCATTAGGTCTGGGAAAAAAAATAAGTAACTCCTTGTTTTGTACGTGAAAGAAAGGGAATTCCATTATAACTGTCTTCAGCTGTAAATGTCATGGGAAGACCCGGGTGCAAACCCTCCCAGAATTCTGCCACTCAGAGTCTCTCTGCTTCACTTTTATCATCCAAAACAGTGAGGTGATGATGTTGATATTTCATTGGAGAGCCTTTTCTGGGGCTAAATTTAAAAGTCTTTCAACAGCTTCTGGAGGTGCTCAAGCAGAAAGCTCTGTTGATGTCACACATGTTGTTGCAGTTTTGTTAGCATGTTAAAAATCCACGTAAGTCTAGCTCAGCATTTCTCATGCTAAAGGGCGCCTTGTGACTTTCCCCCATTACACCTGATCATAAATGTTGTCTCTCACCTGCAAAAAGAAAGCTAAGTAAGAAATATATAGTAATATACCTGGTTTTCATTTTTAACCATAAAGGTGGAGCATGTTGTATTCCCAAACTGGCTGGTTGAGCCAGAATCTGGTTTCACACTACCTAGTAAAAGATACTGATGGGCTGAAACTGGGCCAGCTGGCAGGCTCGTGATCTACATACAAGCCAGTTCAAGGAAGTCAACTTCACATTTTTCCTTCACTGATGACTGTCATTCTCATCACAGAATATACAAGGCACTCTGAGTTGTAACATCTTTCTGTGAAATTAACAAGCTTTTAAATATGTCCTCAGATTGTAGCTCTTAAAGTTATTGATTTTTGAACATGAACAGAGCTCTTCCAGTTTTTCAGGTGGCTCATGCAAAATCGTTATATTTCTTGTAGATCAGTGACTGATTCTTGTTCCAAGCCACATGTTTGCCACCTCTTGGAAATTAACACTTGAATTTCATATAAGCTTTTTTGTAGTCTTACCAAAATAGCGTTCTGGTATATTGCATATTTACACTTAGAATCAATGATCCTAAAGCAGTTCTCCACTTAATCTTCCATTCACAGTGCTAAGTTAGAACCAGGGATTTACATGAAAAGCAGATATGGATATGCATTATTTCTCACCTTTTTGTATTCCACAACTTCATTTACATAACTGCTGCTATCATACTCAACCTAAAACCATGTCCCTACTGACTGCTTGAAATTGAAATAAATTACACTACAGCTAGGAAGACCTACCTTATAATCTGGTGGTGCTGTCTTGATGCCTCTTCTTTGATGTCCAGTACATATCCCTTGGTTTAGGAAAAAGGAGTACGTGGATGTTGTCTTGCGTCTTTTGTAGTAGTTTTATCTTTTCCAGTCTACCCAGGTCCTGGAATACATACTATTTGGTTTTAATGCACTTCAAATACTGTGTATGAGTCATGAAAGGCTTTGGTGGTTATTCTTTGCCTCACTTGTCCCAATGCTTAATGGCATGCAACAAGAAGCTGTACAACTGCTTGGTAATTTTTAGCCATCTTTTCACAATGCTTGCTTGTATTGTAGAGCTATACAAGACTTTTAATTCACAGTAATGATGTAGTACATGGAATTAGGCAATTTAAGCACAGAAACCTAGAGCATTTGAAAAATAGTATTAAGACATGTCTGAGATTCCATTTTGAAAAGCATGACAGGAGAAGGTGTGATTATTCACATTCTTCACTTTGAAGCCAGAGTCTGAATTAATGGTGCATGACTGCTCCAGCATTGCTGCCCAAGTCTGTGAAAAGTTGATTCTCATTATCAGTGGGAATGAAACTGTGCTCTGCCGTTTCCAAGAGGTGCTTGGTTCTTGACAGTGTTCATTCAGAGCTTATCAAGAAGAAAAAGTAATGTGAGCAAAAGTGAGAAATGTTGAGTGGTATAATTTTGTAGATGTCATGCCTTGAACAGAATAAAAAGAAGATGGGATAGGAAGGGAAAAATGGGGTAATTTGCACTTTTCAGTTCCCAAAAGACAGGATTCATCCCACTTGGTCAAAGGAAGGGTGTTTTATAATATATATACATAGCAAGATTCAACGAGAGGTCATATAGGTAGCTGTCTTCAGCTTCGATGACAAATTCAACAGACCTTTTGTTTTCTTCCCACTGCTGTACTACATGGTAACACTAGTAGCACCAATGTGGCATTGGTGTTGATATCCTTGGGATATGCTGCTCTAATTTTACTGTTAGACATTACTCAAGCAGGTAGTTACCATGTCTGTGAACAAAAGTGCAGACCGGGATAAATCCACAGCAAAGGATGGCTACGTTATATTTGTCAGGTCACAAAAACAAATACATGGCTTCTAATGGCATTTGATTATTCATTTTTAAGTGTGACTGGTCACTCCATGGAAAGCTCATTGCACCCTTTGGTAACCTGGAAATATCACACTGTCAGATAAGATGTCCTGTGCAGAACAGGATGCAGGCTTGTACACATGTAAATACATATGTATATACACACACTCACATAATTTAAAGCTTAGAAGATGCCTTTTATGACTCTCCTTGGTGTAAAGGATTTTCTTCTGAGAGGAAAGATGTTTCAATAATTGTCCTATAAGTAGACAGACTTTTATTTTAAAATTGAAAGTTATTTACATTAATTAGCTTTGGTTGCTCTCATGTCTCATGTATCCTCCTATGGATTTAGCCTACATTTGGTTTTGCATGCATTTACCATAAATAAAAAAATTAAATAACAAGTGCTAAAAGATTATAAAACATTACAAAAGCATTTTAATGTTTATTTTGCTTAAGATTATCAAAACAGGTTGGGTTCCAGTACTGTGTGAATGACCTCTACAGCAATTTCACATACTATGATCACTGCTTCTCCAGCCTTCTACATCTTTCTGTGAATCTTCTGCATACTGTGGTATTTGTATTTTGTGTGATCCTGTCAATAGAGGATCCAAAAGAAATGCTGTCTTTTCTGCTTCTCTCCAGTTCAGTTAGATTTAAAAAAAAAAAATCAGGCCAAATTAATATAGATGGTAGCAAAGGAGCGATTACACAGTCTTTATAAACTATCTGAAATGGAAAAGAGGTCAGCACAAGCAGAATAGACATTTCTGGTGCTTTCCCTGTGTTGCTTGGAAATATAGCTAATTTTTTTCTTTTTCCTCTGCATTATTGATGTTTATCAGCTGTATTCTAATAGGTTAAGGCCTAATTTTTTACTCTATAAATCATCTATTCTGTATGCAGTGATATTATAGGTGGTTATAAACATGTCGTTTACAGGGTTCAGTTTAAAACTAGAGGCACATTATTCCAGTAATGCTCACAGTCCTATATGGGGTGTTTCAGCAGAGACAAAAGAGAAGGTTTTAGAAAAACTATTATTGTTTAAATCCATCTGGGCTAGCTTTGAGTAGAGCATTGATGTAGTAGTATATGGCTTGCACTGTATGACAAAAGCTGTTAGATAAACACTGAAAGTAATTAATTTTGATTCTGTATATTTCTAACCTTCAACTTTTTTTAAAAGGTAGTAGGCTTTTTCTACTTTGTTAATATGAGAAGTATGCATTGTAAATATATAGCACCTTTTTTTTTTCAGACTTATGATGAAATATTAAATTATGTATTTTCTGTCATTCCAGTCTAAGCCAGTGAAAGTTCTGCAGTGGAATTATGCAAATGCAAGATTCAGAACTTAAATTTTGAATGCAATAGTAAAGTAGAACAGAGTTTATTATCTTTGTCAAAAGAATCTATAGCTTCTTTTACCTAATTTAGGAAGTCAACATGTTCAGTATGGCAGAGAGATTTTATTAAAACTTATGCTAGTAGAACTTCAGTGTTATTTATGTATACATTTAGTTTGTCTGCACCCAAGTAAGAACAGCTCAGTGAAATGATCAGAGGTTTAGGCCAGTAAATGATTAAAGAAGGAGAGTAACTTAAAATAGTGGGGTCAGTTATCATGTATCCACTGGCCCTCCTCAGCTGCCCACATGTGCACTTCTGGCTCTCCTTCACTGTTAGCATGCTTGGCTCAAGCCATCAGTAATAATATTGCTTTGGAATTGGTACACATGGAGAGCAATCCCCAATGCTCAGGAGATGAAAGCACAATACTTTCTGGTATGCACCCTGAGTGAATAAAAAGATCTTTTCCCCTGATGAGGAGTTCTGACCATACTCTTATGTTAATTTCTCACCCACAAATCAGGAACTTTACAGGATCAGCCCTTTTTTCTGAAATTGGCATGTACCTGTATTGTAATAATCTGATGTAACTGGACATTGTCTTCCTGTTCCTGTTTCACTGTAGCATGTTGTAACAGGGATGGTTAGGAATGAGACACCAATGGTGTGATGTGCATGAGCGCCTGTCCACTTGTGTGTGCCTGCAAGACAGACAGATAAAAGAAACACAGATAAAAGAAGAGGCAGAACAGCAAGAACAGATTGTAAAGGGTGCTGTTTCCAATAAATCAAACTGGGGAATATGGTGTTTCTGTCAACCCCTAAAGACCCACATTCAGATATGATGACAGCATAAGGGAGTCCTTAGAATATGACTGCTCTTTGGCCACGGTGGGTGACAGCAGGGCTATGGCAGATCATGTACACCAGCCCTGCCAGAAGCAGGGAGAGACAGCAAAAGTTCATCATTCTAAATGGCACGTAAAGAAATTACCAGTTAGAGACACAATGAAAAGAAAGGAAGTGTTTACACTCTCATTTTGCATGCAAATGATTCTGGCCAGAGGACCACAGGCATATGCAGGTGTGAGGCCTTGAGCAAACAAAATTGATGGAGAATGACTACAAGACAGTAGAGTCAACTTGCTTAAATATTTATATTTATATTATAAAATTATAAAAGTTAAAATCTTTCATTATCCTGATTTCCCCATGCTGTAGCAACACCAATCTTCAAATCTTTCATTTTCTCTTTTACAGGGTTGTGGTGCCTTTTGTGAAAACCTGTCTCATGGTCCTGCCTTCAGTGCAAACTGTATGGAAGAGCCTGACAGATGTTTTCGTTGTACCATTCTTTCAGAGCCTAGGGCGGTGCTTTGCCATGGTTAATATACGCCTGGACCAAGAGTAAACATCAGAGATGTGACACTGCTGTAGTGTAGCTGGTGTTATACTTCTTTGCTAACCTAACATAGAAGCACTTACCATTCATTCCAAACTGTTAAATTACAATGGCTGGTTTAAGTGGGAACATGCTGTTTTTATGAAAACTCATTTATTATCAGGGAGATCCATTTAAGAATTAGTAGGCAGTTTTCAAAGCTCACTATATTAACAACAGAGTGATCCTGGAGTATATTGGCAACACTTTATTTTAATGGCAGGTTGATTGATTGGTTACAGGAGAATTCTCATGGAGGATTAAAAGCCATCACAGTGATAATGATTGGTATTATTACTATAGATAAATTAATGAATAGGCATAGATACCTTAGACAAAACTGATCTCTAGGGTTTCACATTGACTTTACTGCAGTTCCACCAGGGATCATGTTTGGCCTCACTATGCAGAATGATAAACCCAGTCCTCTGTTATCAGCAGTTAAAGTGAACGTGACTCATTGCAGAAACATACAAGGAAAGGAATTGTTGTGCAATTCTCCTATATTGGGGGGTGGGGGGCGGGGAAGCTCCCTAGAAGTTTATCCCTTAAAATAAGGTGTTAGCTAATGATCTATAAAGTTAGCTAATCTGTATATTTTATTTAATGAGAGGTTAACTTTGCTGTATATTTTGTACCTTTGTAAATGACAGTTGATCAGGTTTTTATGAAACATAGTTTCTCTAGTATTTGAATTCTAACCAACTTACTAAGCAGCAAGAGTGAGACTGCAAAAATTACTTTAGATAACTAAAATTTTCTTTTCTAAATTAAGTAGATTTTGAGTGTTGCTGTGCAATTCTAATATATTAATTATATATGATTGTGTGTAAAAGCAAAGATTGTAGGTGTTTTCATACACGATTATGCAAAAGACTTGGAAATATCTGTTTATGAGAAATGATTTTTATTAAAAATTGGGTGTAATAAATGCTACCCTGCCTATTTCTGTATATTATTGGTGTAAACATTGTGATATTTAAAGTGATAGACACTATGCTAGCACTTTAACTAGGTGGCAAGCTCTTATAGAAGGAGAGTGTATTCAGTATCCTTGTCTAATTCTCCTCACCTATTGACTTGACTCTCTCTGTTGCTTATTTACTATTTCAAAGCCTAACCCCTGAAAAAAGATCATTCTTTCTTCTGCACCTGTTATGAATTTTTAAACCAGAATAACAGAATGCGTGCAGAGGTACATTAAAATTACATCAACCTTCTGGTGGGCTTATGCTGCTGTTTTATTTAAATACAGATGGTAAGTTGCAATTGTAAAATGTTTGTATTATTTAGAATGTTATTTTCTAAAGTGATGTTTCAAATTTCTTATCAAACGAGAGGTATCTAATAAAATAATAACGTCAGCTGTTTCCCATTTTCAACTTAATTTCCTTTCAGATTTGTCAGCTTTTTAACAAACTCTTAAAATGCCAAACAGCATAGAATATTATGCAGTTCTTCCAAAATATGTGAGGGGTAAAGAAATAGATGAGTATCAATATAATTCCACTGTTATCAACTGCATTTAACATACTTATCGTAGATAACTACATATCTCTGTGTGCAATTAAGTCCTTACAGAATGATTGCTTTCTCTGAGCTAGGTCTCCCTGCAGAATTTTGGCAACATTCAAAATAAAAATAATAATTTTTTTTTTTAAATGCTTAATTATTTTTACAGGCACATGCTTTTTTTACAGATGAGCTGCAAATTTTCCTTTTCTTGTCTGTTGGCCTATTAAAGCTACCTGACACTATATATTCTTTGTATATTGAGAACATCTTTGTATATTAAAAGTATTTTTAGCATTTGTGCCATTTAGAGAGGGATTCATATGGCTTTACAAGACTGGATCTTAATGATTAGTGCCAATGGAAATTTCTCTTGTTCTTTTTTATTCTGCAAGAAGTTAGCTTGTTTTTCAGATATGTTCTTCAAAATACCTTTCTTGTATTAAAAATGAAAATAACTCTTTTGAAAATGAAAATTGGCCAGGCTAGGCTTGAACTCTTTTGAGAGTTATTTTCTTTTACAGCGTCCAAGGACTTTTACAAAGATATTTTCCACTGAAAAATATCCCCTTGATGAATTCAATTAAAAGAGAAAAAGAAGATAACTCAGTCAGTACTAATCCTTGAGTCTAAAAGGAGCCCTATAAAAGCTTTGAAGGAACCCAAGTCTGGATTTTAAGTTTTGAGAATGAGGCCATTCCCCAGGGAAAAATGTATAATTTTATGGTTTGCATTCTTGGATATATGCATTTTTAAACAGCTTAGAAGTCAGCTAGCTCTAACTTCCACAGACAAATATTTAGAATGGTTTCGTTTGTTCTTATTTTGATTTAGGCTTGTCATTGATTAGTTCTTGCCATTTCTCTAGTTGCTACAAGACTCAAGCAAGCTTGTAATTAAAGCTCTTAGTTTCTTAGATATTTATAGCAATATCTTTCTCTGGAACAGGTGTGCCTTTACTCTAAGGAAATACAAAGTGCACTCTTAGACTTTGGGTAAAATATTAGATGCTTGGCAAATACTCTTACTTTGTCCATAAAAATAGTGGAAGTAGAAATATTTATGGCTTCTCCAATACTCAGGTGTGAATCTGCCCAGGGAACTCTGGCTGGCAAGTAGTCTCACGATTTTATGGTTCTGACATATATCCTGAATACCTCACAGCACTGTTGGACAACAGGGACTGAATGAGAACTGGTACTGAACTGTACTCTTCAATGCAGGAGCAGGTCTGTCTCCAGTTTGTTTGAAATTTGGACAAACTGTCCCAGATGATCTCTTAAAAACAACTTACAAATGAGGACTTAGGCAAGGGAGTCCAGAAACTGAGTCTCATTGTCTGCAACAAGAGTAGAAAAAAATTGCACCCAATTCAGACTACTTTAATGCATCTTCGTGTCTGTGGAATGGGGAAAATGTTATTGCTCATAACAAGAGTAGAATTTCCATCATCATAGTAGAGTTATTACAAATAATAAGTGTGAGGTGTTCCAATTCCAGTCTGTCTCTTGTTACTGCAGACCTTAGGCCTACAACCATGAGCTGGACACTCAGTTCTGACTTGCAAAATATTTCAGCATCTTGTTTTTCATGAAGATCACAACTAACATACAGAACTCACTCTGGATTTTTGTTTATGGACTTCTTAGTTTTAATTCACAGAGAAGTTTAACCTGCCTCCTTGTGAGAGCTGTTTCCTCTCCTAAAATGCTCCTAATCTGATTCTGGAACTTTTATATTTGTATCTTATCTTTCACCACCCTAGTAAATTGGAATATACCATATAAATTGAAATAAATTCTTAACAGAAACTTTGATGTATTAGTAAATGAAGAGCCCACCTATCCAAAAAGTTCACTTAGGCATTCACTGACTAAAAAGTTCAGAACATCCCTGCAGCTCTGGGACCTCAGACCACACACTTGTATTAAGTGGAAGCCAAAGAATGGTAAGTCCTTTATTTTTACAGGGTGTGATCATTCCCCCACCTGCAGAGATAAAACTATTGCTGTTATTAACTCTTTTAAAAAAAACATGGAAAAATACATCTGTTTGGGTTTTTTTTTAATAAAAATGCAAATGGAACAAGGTCAAACACCAGACACTTTAGCAGTGTTGTCTGTTGTCTGTGCTCATAAAAATTAGAGTTGAAGGCCTCCAGAGATACTGAACCAGCAGTTAAGCATTAAAATTGGAGGTTCTTTCTTCATGCAGGGATGTACAAATTAGGCTAATTAATAAAGGCTAATTGTAGCTTAGTGACACTAATCAGCCTAAGCTTATTGCAACAAAAGGAAAATGTTTTCTGAGAGGCAATTCAGAGGAGCTAAGATAGGTTCCTTCTTTGAATCACCCTCCAGAGAAAAGAGTCTGTACTGATTAATGCAAAATATTGGGCTGGGCTTGGCTTGCCTTCTTTGCTCTGCTAAATAAAACGTTGTATTTGCTGTAGAAAATGGGAAGGTTGATGGAAGCAATTAGAGTTTCATAAAAGTAGCGAGGCAGGTTCTTCTCTACACCCTTGTCTCACAACATGATGCCAGGGTGAGTGTCACCTGTGTTAGATGTTCAATTGTCGTACAGCTTCCCCTTCCAATTGCAAGTGGGAGAAAGAAGGACCCCTTCACATAGGACTGAATCAGATCCTACTTAAGACACTCAGATGGGATAAAATATAGAGATTCACTTTTATTTCAAATCTTGAAAAAAGCTTGTCTATTTTTCCAACTGCCTCAGCTCAATAAGAGCTGCCTTTTCACCCCATGTACCTGATCTTGCTTTTTTATTTTACACTATTAGAGCTATCACAGTGATACAACTATCAGCTAGGGTTTATCAGGAAATGCTTAGGTAGAGAAGCAGAGTGAGAAAAAGCCTTAAGGCTACAAAAGCCTTAAGGAGTGGGTATTTAAGTCCCATTAATGAGAGTAGTTCTCATAGTCTGACATTTTCGATAAAACACACGAACATTTAATAATGCGGTCAAACCGTAAGAATGGTACAGAACAGTGTTTACATAGACCACTGTTCATGGTCCAGCTCAGTAGTTTTCAAGGTATTTTATACCACAAAGTGTTGAGAAAAGAGGGTCTTGGTTTGCACAAGGTCTTGCAGAATTAAAGCTTTCAATCTATTTGCCACTCCAGTCAAGGCAGTTACAAGCTATGTTGATAAAGACCTACAGGGGCTAGCTCTAATAGAAGATGTATGCACCTACTACAGTACTGAGATAAGAAAAAGGCATGCATTTTGATCCAAAACTGTAATCCCTGCCTAGCTGCCACCCAACCAGGAACATGTCTCAACTCAGAAGGCACCTCCCTTTCCCATAACCCCTCACAATACCTACAGTTTTACTTTTGTCATGCCCAGAACTGTCCTTATTTGAGCAACTTGGCATCTTACATCTAAGCCCAGTCAGAACCCCAGAAGAAGGGGGGCCTTAGACTCCTTAAAATATACTTAACTGCGCATCAGCAGAATAAGGTACTTCCCAAAATACACTTTCCCAGGAGTGAGTCCAAATGCAGTGGCACACCTCAGGCAAAAACTGATTTCAGGTTTCTCAGGTGTTGGTTTGAGTCTTCCAGCCCTTAGGCTATTGTGAAATGTTTTATGGCAGCATCACTTTCACATAAAATGAAATCACTCCTGTATAGAGGTTGCGAGAAGGAAGGAATGTGAGACGAGCTACCCATCTCTCCTGGTATAATTAATCCTTGGATTCAAGGCACAAACAGGCCAAATACCAAATGTGTACATGAACCTGCAGCCCTGTATACTGGGGGTGAGGGGAACCCATCTCTATAAAAAAGTTCTGATCCAGTGACTTACATTTTAAAATACAGAAACTCTCCAGAGAGTGGAGACAGGATGACCACCGTGAATCCTGCAGGACTACAAGTCTTTAAACAATGGAATGAGGAAAACATTGGCCAGCATGTTAAACCTATCCTAATGCTTGTTATCATGCAACAGGGTGAGAACAGTAGCATGACTGCTAAAAGTTCAAGACCAACAGTTCTAGCAGCTAAGGCTTTCATCCAGAAAAATATACAAAACTGCACATAAAATGATGTGGTTAAGCAGTTGAACAGAAGATACACAAAAGAGCAATGATCTTTCACTCCAAAGTCTCAGGTTTTTAAGTGCTCTGCATAAGGCAGGCTGCTCGTGGACAGCCTCTGTTACCTGACAGCTTTGTTGCTGTTGAAACTATACAGAAAGAAAACAGTTTCCCAGGGCTGATTTTGATCTTGCTGACACTGGAATATATCAGGAGTATTGCTAATACCATAACTGGAATAACTAAACAAGCTTAAAACATAAAGGGGGCGAGGGGTGGAGGAAGGAGTGTTTGATACCAGACAAAGACACTCAGTGAGCAGTCATCCACATTCAGTTCAGTTTCATGACTCACTTTCTAACAGTTTATGAGGGATTTTGGCCAATCCTTTTTTATTTTCCCCCCTCCCCCACACTGGTTTCTGGGAAGCCTACCCATACATAACAAAACTTTTCCTCCTCTCAAAATGGAAAAAATAAATCATAAATTGCACATGCTTTGGTCCAGGTTTAGAGCAAGTTTTCAACTAAGGTAATCCTGAGGTTTGAAATTTCAGTTAAAGCAAGATTTTGGAGCAATAAAAACTTTTTAAAATTAGGTATGAAATGCCTAAGGCTGGTGTGATGAAGAAAGGCAGTGAGGTGGCCAACCAAGGTGGCAGGTTTAGCAACTGACCTGGACTACTAAAGACACAGCAAAGCTCCATGAGAAGACTGGGTGGCATTTCCACGGCTAACTTGAGTGTCTACAATTTCTGGTAATTTCTGGCCATCCCTGGATAATCCATTCATAGTAAATTGAGCAGGGAATGGAGCCTTTGCACTGTCAGAAGATTTCTGCAGGCCTTTACCAGGCCCTTTCCCACTGAGCTATTACTCTTTCTCTGAGTTTAACAGAAGATCCTTGCAGAACTCCCATGTGCATCCATGCCAGGTCTCTGGCTGTTGAATTTATGTGCATTTCTCATACAGCCATGCTAGAGGCAATGGGCCGTGGCTCCATCCCTCTCCATCTCTGCAGATGTAACTTGTTCACTCTTACTGCCTGGTAGTACCCATGCCTTTTTTCTCAGTAGGCTGTCTTCTTGGTATTCCAGCTCAAGAAAGAACCACTCATGTGATGGTTCATTTCATTTTTTATGTAGCCTATTCTGGAATTCGTCTCATAAAGCTTATAAATTCCACAAGTTTATTATATTCTTCTAGCTGCAGTAGTGTTATGTGATTCAGAAATATTTTTTGAAGGGAACTGTGGTTCTGAAAAACTATTCCAGGATCAATTCAAGCATTTCAGACTGACAAATATCTCTCTTTTTTTCCCAGTCATCCTTGAGATACACAGTCATACTGAATGATGGATCAAAATGCTTTGATTCATGTGCAGGACTAATTGAAAAATTTTTCTAGCTATGAAAACAAAGAACTGTCTTGCAGATTCTTTCAGATAGATAGAAAAATTGCAGAGTCTATGTCCTTCAATACACTCATTTGACTTCATATTCAGATTCAAAAGCTTGGACAAACAAATATTCTAATGATAGTTTAAGTGAATTATTGCATCGTTTTTACTTTTAAAAATTACAACTGACTTGGAAAGTTGGAAAACTTCCATCCAAGGCATTTGTTCTAAAGTTTATGAGCAATATAAACTAAAAAAAGTGGACTGCTAACCGATGTATCAGCAACACATGTCCATGTGTACTGCATTTTCAACAGGTGCAGTTATTTACATCTGTGGCACTTACATCCATCTTAGCCAGGGGCTTCTTTGAGGTCATTTCTCTGTTGAAGTGCCAAAGCCAAATATACTGTAGTTAGGAATTTTTTACTTCTGTGCTGCAATTCTGTGCTAAATGGCATAACATTAAGGTCACAATTTTTCTGTTAATGTTATAAATCTTTCACCATAGACTGATTTCCTAACAGAAACCTAATGGCTGCAAACACACGCACACACACAAAAGTGAGATATAATTCATTTTTCAGATGTATAGTGATGCTGCAACCCTAACCTGAGCCATCTTGAATACGGTGATGAATGTTTATATTTATAGCATTTACACTTACATATGCCCCTGAGTTTACAAAAAGCCTTGAGAATAGAGCATGGCAAGAGGGTGTCACACCATTCCCCTTTAAAAGTTAATCCTAGTGGTTAATATGCATGGCAAACATGCATGGATCAGTCTCGTCTCGGGAAAAATATAGCAGTATCAAAGTGCAGAACTGTTAAATATTTGCATAGTTTTGAAATGAACCAGTTGAGAAAAATCTCTTTTTCTTCATCCCAAGGATATCCAAGTTTCCACAATTGTTCCTGGAGCAGCGATGCTTCTGTATAAACTACTGTCAATGCCGGGAGGGGGGAGCCCGGCAAACGCCTGGCTCGCTCTGGACGCTAAACACAATTAAAGTTTTCCATCTCCTCATTGCTTCCTTGCCCCCTGCCCCCCCATCTTGCCCAGGTGGCTCTGCCGCACGCAGCCAGTGTCGCCCCGGGTACCCTGCGGCGGGGACCCACTGTCGGGGGTCGTGGGCGGCCGGGGCAGTGCGGAAGACGCGGAGAGGACCCTGTCCCTCTCCCTGTCGAGCCCCTGTCTCCGCACGGCGTGGCCCAATCATCCGGGACCAGGTCCGCCAGATCCCAGGTTGCCGGGGCAGGGCTGTTTTCCCCTCCCACCCCCGGCCGCCCTGCCATGTGCGGGGCCGTACCGCCGCTGTCATCCACCCCAGCCGGAGGCAGGGAACCGCCCTGGCCAGCGGCCAGCCCTCTCCTCGCAGCTACCTCCCCCGGCCGGCCGCTCCGCAGAGCGGAATCGTCCTGCCTCCGGTCCTACAAGTCACAGGGCAGTGTAACTCGCGGCAGAGCCGTCAGCAGCCCGCGGCAGCATGTCCGGCACCAAATACGTAGACTCGGAGGTAGGACCACCGGGGCGTGGGGCCGGAATGCTGCCCCGCCGCCGAGTACCTGCAGCGGCTCGGGCCCCCAAGCTCCCTGACCCGTCGGAGGAGCGGACCGAGGCGCGGCTCGGCAGCAGGAGGGCGGACAGCCGCGCACCTGCGGACAGCAGGGACAGCGGGTCAGGGGGGGACCGGGGCGCACGTCCCCGGCGAGCGCGGGGAGCGGCGCTGCCGGCGGCCGTGCGGGGAGAGCGGTGTACGGAGGGCTCTACAGCGAGATCACGGGGATGGAGAGGGCACGGTGATGGCCCTGCATAAAGGGCAGTATAGGGGGGGCAGTGTAGTGAGGACAGTGCGGTGAGGGCGCCGTGCTCAGGTCAGCGCAGCGGGGGCGGTAGGGCGAGCAGTGTGCGGTATGGGGAGGGCATTGCGCGGGGAGCCCCGGACCTCCCTGCCGTGCCCGGGGGGCCACGCCAGCGCCCACCCCGCCCCGCCGAGGGGACACTCGCCCCGCCCTGGGGCAACGCCGCGGGGCCGGGGCCGCCTGGCGGCGGGAGCGGGAGCCGGCGCCTGGCACGGCGGGGGTGTGGTGAGCGCCCCGCGGCCGCGGTTAAATAGCCGGGCGAGGGCCGCCCCGCAGCCTGGATCCCGCTGCCCGCGGGACCCGGGGCCGCCTCCCCCAGCCCGCCCTCCTGCGCGGACCGCACCGGCCCTGCCCTCCCCGCCTCAGCTGGGCTCTCCCCTCCCCGCAGGGCTTTCTGTACACGGCGCCCGTCCGGGAGCAGGGCAACATCTACAAGCCCAACAACAAGATGATGGCAGATGAGCTGAGCGAAAAGGCGGTGCACGACGTGCACACCAAAGAGATCGACTTGGTCAACCGAGACCCCAAGCACCTCAACGACGACGTGGTTAAGGTGAGGGGGCGAGGCGGGCGTCACGGGGGCGCTGCTAAGTCTTGCCGAGGCAAGGATACGCGGGCACTCTCAGGGCGGCTGTAACCCGCGAACCCCATCCTTCCACCTGCTAACAGGAGGGAACGGGCCAGGGGCTGATTGTTTGTTGTTTTTTTTAAAGAAAAGGCAGAGTGGGCGAGAGAGAGGCGGGCAGGGCAGCCGTGCGGAGCGGAGCTCCTCGCTCCGATGCGGGGCTGGCCGCGCTGTCCCGCGGGGCCGCAGCGGGCCGGGGTCCGAGGGGGTCCCGCCGCGCTGTGCGCCGGCAGCCGGCTCTGCAGCCGGGACGTCCCGCCCGGGGGAGCGGGGCATGAGTTGCGCGACCTTGTGTAACACCGTCGGAAAGGATTTTCCTTCCCCGAGGCACGCACAGAGGCAGGGCGGGGAGATGTCACAAACCACATCGCCCTCCCTAAGCCTGGCGGATGCAAAATCAGAGATTCTGATGGCGGTTGGATTTGCGTCCTTGTTCTGTTTTGTTCTCTTGAGTGTTTTTCCTTCCTTCAAGAGATGACAAGCAAGCTAAGCAAAATCTAACTGTGCCCTTGCCTTTTTTATTTGGGTTTATAAATCAGTTTGACTGTTTTGACAAGTCAGGGTCGATGGAGATTTTTGCTTGAAATCACTTTGGTTAGAAATATCACAGAGATAGATTTTTCTCGTAGAAAAAAGAATTTATACAGACAAATTTATACAATACGTGTGTGTTATGAACGAGAGTGTTTGAGATCACTTGAAAAATCACTGGCAAGAGCAAAAGTCAGATTTAATATTAAGTAGCAAAGCACGACAAGTTCATTGGCAAGATTCACTCTACTACTTACAGGACAGCCAAGGCACAACAAGGGAAAACAAGGAACAACAAAACCAAACAAAATCCAGGCAATTAAAACAGGAATGAACTGGGAACTGTCTAGGGGTGGGTGGGTGTGCTTAGGTGTGTGTGTGTGACAAAAGACAGTGCAGTCAAGGATAAAAAAAGGAACAGGGTATAAAAGCTTAACAACACTCCAACTTAACAGTACTCAACTTACACCTTAAGCCTAACAATTAAACATAGGAAAAACACTTAACTTATACCTAACTTACAGCTTAAACTTAATTTATACCTTAAACTTAACAATTTACAGAGAATAACACTGAAGAGCATTTAACCTAACTTCTAACTTGGAAGTTAGAAGTAGCAACTCAGCAGAAGATCAACACTTAGCTTATAACTTGTTTAACAACTTAGGGAAAGAACAATACTTAGCAGCATTTAAGTTTATAACTATAACTTCACCTTACTCACAAGCCTAATTTACTTATATATCCAAGGTACTTAAACATCTAAAGAAGCAGTATTTCTCTCAGATTTGCTCTAGCATATGCACAGGGGCATGCACACAGATAGGAACCGTCAGTGCAAGCAAGGTATCTGTGAAAAATTCCGCCCAGAAGTCAGTGAAATACTCACTTCGGATGCTTCTGCATCTCCCAGTGGTCAAAGGATTGGGCCTTGAGGAGTCTGAGTATTATCCCAGGATACAACTTGTTTTGATGATCCTCCATACACGAGGCTCTGAGAGGCATCCCACTCAAAGGGAGGCTGCTGGTTATAGCTTGCTGCAGTCCAGGAGAGCCCATTTTGGACCACCATTTATAGGGTTGCAAGAGAGCGGGCTTTAGTCATAACAATGTTTCATCCTGGCCACAGTTTGGGTCGTCACTTTCTCTGAAAGAGTGACAACAGGAATGCTATGCCATTCAGGCAGGAGCAATATTTTCCAAGGCTAGTCTTAAGGAAAACAGCAGCTGGTTAGCAATTCCTGGGAGCAGACAGTATTTCTGATAAGCTTTAAAAGAGCTGAGCCCAGGTGGTGTTTTCAAAGCCAAGGCCTAACAAGAATTTCTCAGATCACACTGCAGCCTGGAAAGAAGGAGAGAGGAATGTGAAAATTGAGGATGCTGTCATCTGGGTTTGTCAGACCCTAGGAAAAATGGGAGCTGCCCAGTCGTAATGGGTGACTAAGCCACTAACTAGCTTGTTTAGTGGCCAGCAGTGTCAGAGTGTGTGAGATTCACCATGTTTGTTGTAATGAAGACCAGTTATTGAAAAATAAAAATACTCTATTGTTTCCAGAGAATCAAGGGGGTGAACTCTGGTTCCTGAATGTGTATCTGTAAAATAAGTCATGCTATGTGCAGACAGTTTAACAAGGTCATGAGTAAATTCAAATTCCAGACTTCAATACAATTTGAAGGTGCTGAATACAACAAGCCATGGTCATATTGCTGGATCCATTCTAAGAATTATCCCTCACAGAAGCCTGTATCTTTAAGGAGCCACATAAAAATGAAAAGACATAAAATTGTTATTTGTTTGGCAGAAATAATCTGTGCACCTAATGGTACAAAACTGCCTTTAAAATGGATGATTTTAAAAAGGAGAGAGCAATTCTTTTTTTCTTCTACCCATGGAGGAGCAACTGAGTAGACCAGGAATGCCAGAGCTCATGAACAGCACTGCATCACAGTTTGTTGCGTATGTCAACAGGAGAAGTCCCCAAAGCAACCAGACCTTCTGAGGATGAATCATAGTTCCTTAGCAAGTCAGAATCCTGGTGTCCACAAACCTAACCTAATGAAAGAAACACCCTGATGGGAAAAGAGTGAGACCACTGACAGAAAAAAACCGTAGTGGACTTAAGCTGAAGCCTACAAAGCCTATCCTGACCTCTCTGCTTCCCACAGAGGCAAGGATTAAGGAATTTTGTTGCATTCAGTCTTCTAAAATAAACTCGGACAATAATAAGTATAGGGATGGAAAAAACAAGCTTTTCAGTTTGTCCTTTTGAAATAATTGTGGACCAACATATCCACTGAAAAACAGCAAACAGCCAAAATAACAGTGCTGCCTCTATGTCAGCAAGTGAGCTCCTGGTAGTGAACACCGTCACATCAAGACATAGGACTATACCAAAATGAATTTGATGTTTACCAGACAGGATCCATTTTACATCATAAAAACAGAAGCATTTGTACAAAATGTCACTGTAAATTAGCATTTTCTCTTTTGTTACAAGGATAAATAAGAAAAACTTTTACTTTTAAGTGTTTCATAGATAGTCCAACCTGCAGAGCAGAGAGGAATTTTGCCACAATTTGCATTTGTGTGGACCCCGAGTTCAGATTCAGTCTATTAGACATAGAAATAAAATTCACACCCAGTACCTAAGGGGACAGGCTTGGATTGGGGTGAAAATACACAGATTCAGTTCCTGCCTTAGCCATTAATCTGTAGTCCCCTTCTGACATGCATCTGCCATTCTTACTTTGGCTGTAAAACATCCAGGCAGAGTCTAAAACTAGCTGAAGGAGACCTCAGTCTTAGGTACTGAAAGTCAGAGAAAAAAAATGTAGGAGTCCTGTAATGCCAGAAGTATGGCTCAGGCTGAGCTCAATTTTGTTTAGAGCCATTGCATTTTTCTAGATTCAGAACTTTTTGCTTTTTACCTACTGTTTTATGCATTTCTTGCCACTTGACTGAGGCACAGCGGCATGGAAACTGGGGACAAATCAGTCAGCCATGAAATAGAAATGATTAGACAGAGGATGAGGAATCTGCTCTGTAAGCAGCTCTTTAAAAGGCCTCAGTGTTGTCTGTATTCAAATACTTCCCATAGCACATTTTAAAAATAACCTTCTCTTGTGAGAAGCAAGAGACACGTTCCCTTGATTTGCAGCACGGAGCATCTGCCCAGCTTCCCCTGCAGCAGATGTGCAGTGCAGGCAGCCTTAGGGGTGGGATCCAGGCGAGGGGCAGAAACACAGTCAAGATCCTTTTATGAAAACTAGATACAGCACCTTTGCATCAAAGCTGTTGATGACTTTGCTTATGGTTTGCCTTTTAATTAACTACCAAGTGGAAGCTTAGTGCTGGGAGGATTCCAGAAAAATGGGGCAAATGACTGGAACAAGGCCTTATGGAACCTGAGGTATGCAGACAGTGGATGTTGCAGCTCTGAACCGGAGGAAGCACAGTCCAGTAAAAATCACCAGAATTTCCTTTTTTTTCCCAATTTTTTCAGTGGAGACCAGAAAGGAAGGATTTTCTTCCTCACACAACTGTCCTCATACATCACCTAGAAGCAGGAGAATGTGCACTAGTGGTTCCATTCTTTCAGGCACTGGCTTGTGAAGGTGGCTAGTCAGGCAGGAGGCGAGGAGGGAATCTAGTAAGGGAGAAGCAGCCTCTGTGCATGTGGGAGCTCTCCAGGAATCCTGCTGGTGATTATACAGGTGGTTTGCCATAGTTTTATCTGTTTCATATGTCCTTCACCAGACAGATCTGCTCTTAGACTTGTGTCCCACAGGTTTTATTTGTGATGAGGCACAGGAAATAGGGTGGAAAGCTTATTACTTTTTTCTCTCATTCATTCCCCAATGACCTGGGACTCACATGAAGGTGCCTGAAGTTCAGGCTTTGCTGTTCTTGTTTCCCAACACAGTATTTTTGTTTTTCAGAGTATGGCTAAATTGCAGCCTTCAACTTCTAGAGTTCAGACTTTCTCAACATATCTGTGGTCAAGTCTGCACAGAGTTTACTGAATTTGGAAAACACAGAGGAAGGAGCCAGTTCTCCTGCAGATTGCACTCTTCTCACTAGCTTCCTTGCTCCTTGCTGAGAATGGGGATGGACCTTGCAGCCAACCCTACAAAGTCTAATCCTTTGAGACTAGTGAGGACCAACTGTGCAATCACATCTGCAGCCAGCTTACAGTTTTTTCCTACAGTGATGTGCCAGGAAGAAAGGTCTGTGCCTGGTCTACCATCCAGAACGTAATTATTATTTTGTTTTAAACAAGTGATGTCTATCTGCTGTTTGTTGTATAGGAGTCCTTTTTGCTCTGGAAAAAAAAAAAAATCCAGTACTTGGCTACAGATGTGAGGATGCAGAACTTTTGTACCAAGTTTCAAAAAGTTGCGTATTCATGCCTTCCACTTAAAACTAATGCAGTTGAGGGCAATCCAGCTTACTGCAAGGAAAGTCTGGAATTTTTAGTGAGATGTTGACAAATACTGTAATACCCTTATGTACTCATTAGGGAGGAAAGTATTACTCAGGCATGTTTTTAAAGCTATTTACAATTTCTGCCTCGTAATAAAAAGAGAGGGTTTTTCAAAAGCAGTTCACATTTTATGTAATCTTTCATGATTAAGGTCCCTCCCTGTTGTATTGAGCACGGTGTGAGATGCACAGAGAGATGACTGGTCAGAGCACTTCCCATTCCCACACCTGAGAACCTCCTGGAAGGAAAGCAGGTGTCACTCCATGCTCTTTTTGAATGGGAGACCTAAGGTGGGCTGTCACTCAGATATGACAACAGGTGTAACCTAAGAGGAATGCAGTTCTGCTCTTCAAGATAGTAAAATGAGAGAAAAGCAGAGCTCAATCAGATTCTATTTCTGAAATAAGGAATTAAGTAAAATTTAATGCAGACCCTTTTTCTTTGTTTTCAGAAATTGTGAAAAGTCATGTGAACACAGATAAATGTTTAAGTTGAAAAACATCCATATAACTATATAGATACACTAATATATGTGTGTGTGTGTTCAAAGCCGAGCTTGTCACCTGGGCTCTTGCTCTTGGCAGTGCCCAGAGTGAGATGGCTCTGGAGGCAGACTCACATCACAGCGTTTAACCCTCACCACAGGACAGGAGAGGCTGTGCTCTCAGAGGGCGTGTTTGTCTCAATTGCTGATACTTGTAGCTTAGACATGACGCCTTACTTGTGCATAACAGCTAATTAAATGAAATGGTTCTGTAACGCTGTTTCCTATTAACAAGCTATGGGGTTTAGATTTAAAATGCAAGAAAATTCAAATGCTTGACTTTGGCTACCCACATGATTCAATTCTGTTTCAAATATTTCTTCCAAGGCTAGTCTAGGAGTATGAGATTAAAAACTTGAGTCATTATGAATGCCAATTTATACAAGGTCTGAGCAAGGTTTTAAGAGTTCTGAAAAATAGTTTTCTTGCTTTTCTTTCTTTTTTAATGAGGAGTTCTCAGACATGAGATTTCTGAATGTCTGTAAGATTACAGCTAATAATGGCATCTGTTCTAAGGAAAGCTTCTTTCTCAAAAAAAATATGTTTGCATTTAAACTCATGGTATTATTAAAGCCTTATGCACAGCCCTCTTGCTTGGCATGATGAACATGACTCATAACTCCATAGAAAAATGTTCATTTGATGGCCATGTGGACAGAGAAAATGACTCAGCATGGCTGTTTCTTTTGTTAGAATTTATTGGACACTATCTCAGATTGAAAAGAGGCAAATTCTTTTCAATTCTGATAACTTCAACAGAATTTAGATCATATGTTAGAAAATATTAAGAGCAATTTGAATTGATTGTAGAATTTTTAGCCCACTATGTGGTTAGGAGCACCATCTCCCGTTGCACAGAATATAGATATCTAAAACAAACAAAAACTGAAATGCAAAACTCCCCAGGGGAAAAAGAGATAATTGTGTACAGTAGAATGGTCTGCCAATGAGGTCCACAGTGAGGAATTTTGATCTTGGTTATATTTTAGGCAATAGAAGGAATAAAATACAAATGAACTTGGTTGATTCTGTAAAACTCGTGATCTCTGGAAAACTGAAGACAGCTATAGTTCTAAACTAAGTTTGTTTTTCCCACAGCTCTCAAATACCCTTCTCATAGACAGTAGGATGAATTCTACATCAGTTACTGATTTTCTGAGCTTTTTGATATTACTACCATATTCTTCTAGACCAATGACAGTAATGAAGCCCATCTTGGACTTTAAAAGGGTTGCTTATCTTGAACATAAAAGAGGAATTATGCCATTTAATTTCATGTGATTTACTGGGGACGCAGATTTTACCCCATTAGTCTCTTTATATTTTCTTGACAGATTTTGTAGGAAAATGTCTTTTGATAGTTTCAAAAACAAATTGAACTTTATACATCATTCTTATTGTTATCAGATTAGCAATCAAGAGAATAAATATGTAGGAGCTGTGCTCTAGATGTTAGCAGGGCTGTTAAAGGGTGGAGTTTATTTGTAGTTAAAAATAGGAACTGATAAATTCAACTTCATAGATAAGAAGTGAGAAGACATTCTCACAGCTGAAGGTGAAAGCATCACATTCTCTGTCCAAGCTCCTGCTGTGCTGAATTTATATTCTGAATTCCAAAAAAGCCTAAGGGATTCTCATAGATGGATTGCAAAATTTCCTCTTTCAACTTTCGACTTTGAAATCCCTTTTTGGAATTCTAACAGATGCTACAAAAAATAATCACTTTTCCCTCAAGGTCAGGGATCTTGTAGAGCTCAGCCATAAAATCCTCAACTGTTTTATGAAGTACAAGTTCATGTATCATTGAAAGGTTTGGGTTGGAAGGGACCTTCATGATCATCCAGTTCCAGCCCCCTGCCATAGGCTGGGATGCCACTCACTAGATCTGATTCCTCAAAGCCTGGCCTTGAACACTTTCAGGTGTGGGGCATCCACAGGTTCTCTGGGAAACCTGTTCCAGTGCCTCTCTTAGGGATTTCTTCCTAATATCTAATCTAAACCTACTCTCTTTCAGTTTAAATCCATTCCCCCTTGCCCTGTCACTACTCATAGCCCGCTTGATTTACTGTTCTAAGAGCCTTCTCCAGACTGAACAACCACAAGTCTCTCAGCCTGTCTTCACAGAGAGTGTGCTCCAGCCCTCTAATCATCTTTTTGGCTCTCCTCTGGACTTGCTCCAGCAGGCCCATGTTCTTATCTTGGAAGCCCCAGAGCTGGACACAGGTGGGGTCTCATGAGAGCAGGCTGGGAGAATCCCCTTTCTCAAGCTGTTTCTCTTGATGCAGCCCAGGGTGCTGTCAGCTTTCTGAGCTGCAAGCCAGATCGTATTGAGCTGCTCACCAGCCAACATCCCCAAGTCCTTCTCTGCAGGGCTGCTCTCAATCTCGTTACCACCCAGCCTGTATTTGTGGTTGGGACTGCCCTGACCGAGGTGCAGGACCTCTCACTTGGCCTTGTTGAATTTCATGAGGTTTACAGGTGCCCAGCTCTCAAGCCTGTCAGTGCATCCCTTTCCTCCAGCGTGTCAGCCTCACCACACAGCTTGGTGTCATCAGCAAACTTGCTGTTCTCATGCAGTTTATGACAAGAGCACAACTATAAAATATCTTGATTTTTATGAAATAATAAAGAAATACCTTATATTTAAGGACCAGTAACTTAAGCTCTTCCATAAGAAAGACAACCTGTACAAATGCAGAGGCAATTTTTTTTTTTAAGAGTAAGAGAGAGGCAGCTGGGCATTGCTGCACACTCACTGTCAGCAATAAGATGGTTCAGGTAGAAATGAGGGGAAAAGATAAAAGCAAGTTAAACAGAATTGCCAAAAAGAATTGTAGCAGCTAACAGGAGTGTGTTTATCAATAGTGTACATAATCAAGAGTCTCCTCTCATTAGACTCCCTTTAAAAACTATAAAGAGAAAAAAGCAGTTTCCAGATCTAAAACAACCTCCAAACATCTCTGTCTCTCCATGCATTATTAGAGAGTCCACTTCCCATTAGTGCCTAAATTTAGGAGTGATAAAGCTTGACCAAGTTCCAAAAAGTTATACTCATAGCATATAAGCATACAATAGTAAAATATAAATCTGTCATATTTATATTTATTAAATATAATTTAAAATATAAAATCAGTTTATATGATGTCTTTACTTTTATTAAGGTTTTTGGATTCAGCTAAACTGCAGGTACCACTGAAATAAAAGAAAAAATCCTGTTATGTTTAGTGTAGTCAAAACTTCACACTGGTGTTCATGTTCATAAATATGCCTCTTTAAACATACAGAGAGACATATGTGGATATACATAAATGTATTAGAGCTCTTTGCTAAAATAGCTGTATCAAACAAGGAACTGTGGAACATGAACCAAATAATAAAAACAAAGAAAGCTTCTTAAGAGTTTCTCTTTGGGAAAGCTGCAATAACCTCCCAGTAGTCCAGTTTCCAGGGAGGAAAACACTAATTTTATTTTCTGTCTGCTTATTCCAACAACATCAAGACATTTTTCAAGGAACTAGCTGACATGGTATCCCCACCTGCACAGGAAGTTTTGCTGCATTGCAGAGTGCAGATCTTTCCTTGAAACTGCGTGTCTTTCCTTCTGCCAGCCTGTATTGGAACAGGACAGGCAAGTGCTTCAGGAAGAGATCTCTGGAGAGCAGCTGGTTGCTACAGTGCTGGCCCATTGGCATCAGTCACGTTTTTCTCATGAGTACTTCCGCAGATTTTGGTGAGCCTGCCCATCTTATGAAACAAAAACCATCAGCAGGGTTTTGCTGGTATGCAATCAGCACGGGCAGGGAGCAGGAGGTTGTTCTCTCTGCAATCAGGAGCAGGTTTTGGGGTTTTTTTTTTTGCTTTTTTCTATGATTTTCAGTTTATGAAATAGCGATCTGCAATCATCCCCTTTTCTAAAGGGCATTTACACATTTTCATAATTCATTTGAGTATTTGTTATGCGTGCAGTAGGAGTCACTCCAGACCAGACTGGTTTTTTCTCTGGCTTAGAAGAGTGCAGTCCTTCAATTCTACTTTCCAACATGAATATCCTTGTTTGTTAAAGCATTGTTTGCTTTTCTGGCATACTCTGTAGCACTCAGGAAGGATTCACTGTTTCCATTAAGAGATCTGCCGGCAGAACACTTTTCTTGCTGTATTGTGGAAAGCAGGCACAGAGAGACAGGAAAGGTAAAGCAAATTCATTGGTCAGTTTCTGCAAGTAACTGGGGTGCAGCAGTTCTGCTTGCTTATTTAGGCTTTCGTTTACTTTGGAAATACTTGTTTGTCATTTTTCTGCACTCAGCAACTTACACAGCAGCTCTGGTCCTAACCATCTGCAGTCATGGCATCTTTTTTGGTTTTTTGGGTTTGTTTTGTTTTGTTTTGTTTTTTGGTGGTTGGTTGGTTGGTTGGTTGGTTGGTTTGGTTTTTTGGTGGTTTTTTTTTGGGGGGGGGGGTGGTTGTTTCTGGTTTTTTGGGTTTTTTTGCAAAGGACCAACTGTTGTGCCTTGCCATCTGGCCAGTCCCCAGAAGAACAGTTTGCTCTGAAGACAGGGTTTGGGGTGGACAGGCAAAGCCTAATCATGCTGCAGCCCAGCCTGGAGGGACTCTTTGGGTTCCCTTGTTAGATGCTTGCCACCAATACCAAGATTCAAGGTGATTTATTGTCACGTTTGCTGTTGAAATCTGATCAGTGAGGAAGTAGACCATCTAGGAATCATGAAGCTCTGTGTGTTCAGGAACAAACTACCAGCTTTCCTACATAACTACAGGTAAACATTTTACAGATGGAGATAACACAGTGCTTTTAAAAGGGTGAATGAGTCTTTGGGAGGGAGGGAATGGAGAAGAGCAACTTTTCTCCTCTAAGTCCCAAAAACTCCCCATCCTGTTTCCTGCAGATTCAGTAGAAAGAGTATAAACTTCATCATTTTCAGTTAAACTGTGACAGCAGTCAGGACAAGCATCAGCATATGTGGTATGCCAAAGGATCAAATAAATACATAAATGCTTAACTGGAATCAGTGATTTAACAGAAAGATTGTGTGTTTATTGCTTAACTTTTTTTTCGGCTGCTGTACTGTCTTTCTTCTCCAGGCACTGTAACTGGGAATTTTTAAGTTCCAAGTAGTATGTGGAACTGCTAAGACAATAATAATCTCACATGCTCACACGTTTTCTTGTTTTTAATAATACACACCACAGCCTTCTCCAACATAAGAACAGTGTTGCATCTGTCCTTAATATCACCTTCCAAATGTGACCCATGCCATAGAAAGCCTTGTCATTTTGTGATATTTTATACATTTTCTTATGTTAAACGTTTCTTTAAAGGACATTGAATATATTTGGGAATTTTTGTAATAAATTTTTGTTACTTTTGTTATTTTTGTAATAAATGCAATAAATTGCATTTATTACAACAGGAAAAAATTGCATATCTGCCTCATGTCTTGCAAGGACAGGATTTAATAAAGTGAAACAATATTATACTTACAGTGTTGGAATCAGGGAAACCCCATTTTAAAACAGCCCAGGGTAAGCAGTAAAGACAGTTTCCACACTCTGGGCATAAAAATGTAAAGAAAACTGGCTTATGACTCTTTCCTGTATACATTCAGCCTAGACTTTAGGCCTGGTCTGGCAGAGCATGTAAGCATATTGACATCAGTGGGACAGCACTTGTTTGGGTTCCTCTGGGGTGGACTAGGGGTGGTGCCTGGCTATGTGAAACTGCTGTGAGCACAGTGGCAGCATGCAGCCACCACACACAACGATATGATAATCATAATAATTACAATCACAGAAATGTAGGTCAAAGCCTAATGCTGGTGTCTTAATACTTATTTTTTTTCTGGCAGACCATGCACAGTAATTTTTTCTATGTAATGAGTATTACAAACCTCAATGAACAAACTTTTGAAAAGCACGACTGGTAAGCAGGTGATGTGAGCCTGGCATTTAATAAACCTATCCAGCCGGCCAGCTTCTGATACATAGGCACCTGAAGTGACAAGGTCAGCAGGTCAACTAATTTCATACATGTGGCATATATCATTGAGTCAGATGATAACTGCACACTGGTAAGCTTTTTAATTAATAGTTCTGACCTTTAAATAGACATTTTCCCTCTTTTGTAAACAATTATTGTAAATAAATCCCATACCATTTCCCTTTCTTGTAAATAAATCTATTTTAGAATCAAAGCTGGTTCCTCAGTTTCCTGATAGAAGTTTAATAAACATATGCAGAGAAAAAGAAGCTGCATTAATTCTCATAGCAGAATCAGACAAAAGCTTCAAGCAATTTAAAAACTGGCTTTACCAAACTGAATAGTAGGAAACAAAAAATAGCTGAAGTCAGGAAGTGCATTGTAGGCATGGAACAGGAATTGATAGTGTTTAATAGTTTAGTCTGAAACAGAAGGCTAGAGCAAGTTATTAGCATCCTTTAGAGGGTCGAACCAAGTTTCCTGTACTTCTCTCCTGTTGCAAGTGGACATGCCTGTATTTTCACTAGCTTGGCAACTGCCTCACTGGAATTTCACAGCACATCCTGACAGCTCTGGAGGAATAAACTACACGAGGAGCATGCAATCTACTAAACAAGACCTGTGCACAACCTAAGAAAGCCTTTATGTAGATAAAATAAAAGTTCACAGGTCCACATGCATGTGATGCTTTGACAAAAGTGACCTTGAGAACAATACCTTAAAAATATTGGCTTATACTTGCAAGACAGTTAGATTCATGACCAGAAATGACAGTGTCTTTCTTCTGTAGGATCATATTTCTGGGCACTTCTCTTTCCCCTGTCAGTCCTATTTTTACTTATTTCAGTTGGACACCCTTTATCAGTCTGATGATACTCACCATCAGTGAGTGCTACTGAACTAAAAGTCAGAGAACAGTAGTAGGAGGGACTGAGGAGGGAGTGAGTAATCTGAGTGATGTAAATGTAATCCATAGCAAGGCAAAATGCATCCAGTCACCTGTTCCTCCTGCAACCTGTGGAGAACTGTTCCCTACAAGTTAAAATCGGGATCCTTCATGGGAGTGGTTTAGTGCAGGAAGAATCTGAGTGATATCTCAGTTCCTGCAGCATAAGGACTTATCTGTACTGCTTAAAGAGTGAAATAAATAGTTTCCAAGGCAGTGGTCTGTTAACACATGAGTAGAAGAGCCCAGATTACCTCAACTCCTTGCCTCTTTATTTAGACACTGATGCAGGTGAGTTTGGTTTTGGACAGCATCACAGAGGTTCACATGCCAGGCTGGACTTTCTTGGCATGTACAAAATGTTCTTATGTTTAATAATGTTCTTATGGCTTTTGGGAAGATAACAGCTTCATTTTAGTTCAGCTAAGACTTAAATTGTCAGGTCATTTTTCTGTCTTTTCACTCACAAGTTCCCTTATTCAAACAGGAGTAATGTGAAACGGAATTTGAGGAATAATGAAATGGGCAAAGACACAGAAGTGTGACACCAGCTATCATTCCTACAGGGCCATCTCTTCTACTTCTCTGCAGTGGTAGAAACATTCTGAGAGCTGTTGAAATTGCTCCAAGAAACTAACCTCTTGATAACTACTGGTGTCATGAATACATTGCTGTTATCTCACAGACGGATTTATTCCTGAGTACTTTTAGGACAACCGTGTATGACTTGAGCTGGGAAATCCTGACCAAAGATATAGCATAAATGTTCTAATATTAGCATCATCTCCTGGAATGAGGACAGGGCTGTCCATCTGGAAATGTTATATGGCATGATTCTTCTGTCAGCTCCCCAGCTCTCCATGGACATTTTGTTGAACACAACAGGCTAAAAATATGAGTTACTGAGAATCGCAATTACAGAAAGTTTACTATTTGATTTGAAAACCAGTGAGTTTATTGGCTTTCATTTTACATTTCATTACAATGAATTATTTTGAAAGTAATCAAATTATAGGCTAATCTTATTATCTATTTTAAAAATTCTAGAAAATCCACATTAAACTATAGCTTCATTTTGCATGCCAAAAAAATCAATTTTTGATAAAAATAGGTCTCACTTGGCTAAAAGAAAGATGCAACCATGAAAAGGCTGTGGAGCTCAATGCAAACTTGTCTTCCTTAGGAGATCTAATATTTCCCTTATCAGCCAGTTGAAATAATAGAAGATGGACTCCTCTGTAACTGAACTGAATAAAAAGACTGTAGATACAACACTGACTAGTGCTCGATGCTTTGAACCTCTTTGATGGCTGTGTTCCCTTTGCCAAGGTTACAGCATCAGCTGGTGGGAAGCATGCAATTGACAAAAGTTTTAGAATAAGAGGGCTATGCTGAACCATGTAGTCTTTATGTAGTAATATTTTTTGAGGAGCAGCTTTCTTTTGCTGTCATCATCCTGGTTTTTGCCATCATATGGGTATTTTTATTATCTGATTTCAAGGAAAACACTGGTTATAAGCCAAGAACACCTATTCACTTTGAAAATTAGTTAACATTAGATGTGGCTACAATTAAAATTTTGCTTTTGAATAGCTGCAGAAACACTTTATATAAGTATGCTTGTTTATGTATTCTAAAAAGAAAATGTACTCTGCCAATGCAGAGTCTGCTATAGGTTTCTGTGGAGATGAAGTTTCAACTCAAATGCTACCTTTAGGTGTGATGGTGATGATGATGATGAATATCCATCCCAAAGAATGACTTTCAGATCACTAGAACCTAGTTCAGAGTAGCAGAAAAAGAGGTTTATAAGTTGCATCACAGGACGTCTAGAGAGAAGCACTGGCAGAGAGTAATGTGAATATATTCAATTAAGCCAGCCTGGTGTTAGGCATTCAAGGTGCTGATAATTTAGAAATTTCCTCTCAAGGACTTTCCAGTCATTCAGCATTGCACATAGACTGTACACTTTTGCTTGTAATTACCTTTTTTGTTTGAGAAGCTGGAAAGTCCAGTGCTTTTATATTTTTCCCTTTGTTAGTAACTTGTGTCTGCAGGTGACAGAAGTTTCAGCAGGAGAGAAGAATAAGTGCTTTTCAATTTTTATGTATATTTTAGATTAAAAGAAGTGATTCTGAGCCTTTTCTTACAGTGTAAGCAGTATTTACACTGAGTATATGTATATTCACCTTCTTCCAGCATGCTAAGGTACAATTGCCTGAGTTTCTGAGGCTGCTGGCCCATGTCATACTTACCTTGTCATGCTCCTGTAAATCTTCACTTTTGGCAGCATTATTATCTCACTTTGGGATCCAGTCTCAGGAATGCAATTTTTTTTCTTTCATCTGACTTAGACAGCCATTTATTTCCTTGCAGAGGAATAGTATTGTGATGTTCTCTTTCCTGTTGTTTGCAGCACCTATACAATTGGTTGTGCTTACTAAATTAAATATCCTGTATTTTGGGTTATATCAAACACGTCTGTGTGACATGGAGCTGAAGCATCATTGCAATTCTGTTAATTTTCTTGTAGAAATATTATGACAATTAAACTTCCTGAACAGCTCAGTATTTCAACAGAGAGTGCTAAAATATGTCTGTTGGAATGCACTGCTTCCTTAGGTGACTTTTTGAATGATTATGAATAGTCAAAACTATGAAATATGATTTTATTCACCTGTTTTGTACCTTAAGCAGACCATAAGGGCACTGCATACCTTAGGGCTGTAGGAAATGAGGAAAATATATTCAGTTTTGCGGAAAACTCCATCTAGAAATTAGATGTCTAATTTTGAGCTAATCATTGAGGCTCCCTGGTGGTCACTGGGTAAAGGTTACTGAAGATTCATGACTTAAATCATGGGTTGTAGTAGGCTGAATGATGTGGGGATGTAGGAAGTATGTGCTTTGTATTTCCTTGCAGGGAACCATAGCTCTCCAGGAAAGGTGTTTCTGGAATACACCCTTGATGCAAATGTCTGACTGACCTGACTTTGTGTTCTTTGCTGCAGATCGATTTTGAAGATGTGATTGCTGAGCCAGAGGGAACACACAGCTTTGATGGGATTTGGAAGGCCAGTTTTACCACCTTCACTGTAACGAAATACTGGTTTTATCGTTTACTGTCAGCAATCTTTGGTATTCCCATGGCTCTCATCTGGGGCATCTACTTTGCCATTTTGTCATTCCTGCACATCTGGGCAGTGGTGCCATGCATAAGGAGCTACCTGATTGAGATCCAGTGTATTAGCCGTGTCTATTCCATCTGCATCCACACGTTCTGCGACCCGCTCTTTGAGGCCATAGGCAAAGTGTTCAGCAGCATCCGAGCCACAGTGCGGAAAGAGATCTGAGGGACAGTTCAAGGAGAGCCATCAGCCTAGGAAGGGGGTGAAGGTTTTGTGTTTTTTGGAGTGTTTTGGTGCCAGTTTTGTGTTTCCCAAAGCAACATACAGCAACTGGTGGTGGACTGGCCCAAAACAAAGAATCACTTGCTCAGTTTCTTTTTCTACTGTTCATTCTTACTGGACTACTTGCCTTTTTATTTTTTTGCTTTCTTTTGCCCTTCCCCCCCACCTTTGGTCTGCATTTTAAACTAACCTTAAAGGGTATTCTTCCATGCCAGCTGCATATTATTTTGCTGGCTGTTCAACTCAGAGATTGAAGTGTTGTTGGATGCCTTTTTATCTTACCCTTCATTCCTTGAGAGATAAATCCACAGTGATACTGAAGAATGACAAAAATGCTTTCCAACACTATAAAGCCATTCATTTTATTGTGGCTAAAGAGCGCAGAGCTATCACAGCAGAATGAACGTGACCAGCTGGCAGGTTTTAGCAGAATGTTCTTTTTCAATTGGATTGTCAGTTGACTGCAGCTATTTACAGTCATGGTCAGATATTGTGCAGTAGGAATAAATTAGTTAAGTAAACACATTACTGAACTAGCATCTGTCCTGAAAATTTAACATTTTGTCAGGCTGGAGACATTGACATGTAAAAGCTTTGGTCGGTGCCTTTCTGTCTCATTCTGTCTTGGAAGTTTGCATCCAGTCATTTCTCAACCTTTGCTAAGATTGTAGAAACAAACTGCAGTTGAGAGCTAAAACAGGTCATTATGGAAATGTTTTCCTGACTGTGACTTATGAACATCCCTTAGCAAGCATTTAGGTGCTTATCTCATTGGCATCTGGGGTATTTTTGCAAAGTATTAATATAAATGCATATTGCAGGCGTGCCAGAGATAATCTTGAGTTAAAAGAAAAACGAAGGAGTGTCAAACAAGCCACAGGAGGCCAGGGAGGAGCTGGCCCCGTGTCCTGATTTAGGGCAAATTTGGGAGAAACTTTTCTACAGCTCTCAAAATTTCCCTATCAGCAGAGGTCAGCCTGCCACTAGCACACAGATTGTTTTCAGGATGCTTTGCTGAGTCTAAATTTATCCATCACAAGAGATGCTTTAGAATCTTCACATTTGTGTGTTGCTTTGTTCATTTTTAGCTGAGCTGCCACATCAGGAAGTCTTAAACAGAGGGTGTTGTGTGAAACTACCGTGTTGCAAATGGAAGGCTTTAGTAGCGGGGCCTTTGCGACATGTTCTGATGCTGTGACCTGCAAGAGCTTTTTGCCCTCATGATAGTACTGTGTTCAGAGATGCTCTCTGCATCTTCATTGGTTTGTGTGAAGCATTTGTAAAAATAGTTGTGAGGCTAATTTGCTTTATTGTAAACCAAGCTGGGGTCTGAGCCTGCTCCAGCTGGAATCTCTAGCAAACCAGTTCTTGACCTGCAAAATTTGTCCCTTGGGATGAACATGGAGCTGTCTGGTACACCTACAGCTTTTTTATTTAGTGCTGACATTTCACATATTGCTTTACCTAACATGGAAGTGCCTTCCATTCTGTTTCTGCCAAAGCATTGAAAACTTTAGGAAATGCTGCATTTTTAAATGGGGGTGGGGGAGGGAAAAGGGGAGAGGGTGCACAAAAATTTACAAAGCTGTTAACTACTATTTGCATTTAAAACAGACACTGGTATGGATATAGTTTTATGTTTTTCTATGTACATAATGAAGATGTACTATTATAGATTTTTTCAGTATTAAAAACAACCAAGATTATAAACAAGAAATATTTTATCTTTTATGAGGAAAATCACTCAGAAGAAAACTTTGATTTACCATATAAATTGTATATCCTGAAAGATGTCTGTTCACTTAGAGTTCTTAGTCCCTAATCAAAATACATTGCTGATCCAAACATTTACATTATTGTTATAAGCTTACAGATATAACTGACACCTTTTTTTAAAATTCTGCATGTACATTAAAGACTACAATAAAAAGATGCTTAATGGTAGATCCTGTCTGACTTCTTTTTCCTTGAAAGTCATGTGAACAAAAATTGTTTGAAGCTTTATTTTTCAGTCCAGTAGAAACAGGATTTTTCCTAATAAAAGCTCATTAGCTTTAGCATGTAGTGTATGGAAATAGGGGAATGATAGCTTTTATTCAGCCATGTATAGATGTAACTTGTGACAGGACAGTTCATTTCTATGAGTTTGTTTCACAATACCTGTCACACTGTTACACAAAAGCCCAACAAAACATGCTATTATGAATGGTCTACAAATCTTTTAACCATATTTTAATGTTCAAATAGCAGATACCAAATAAATGTAGTCCATAATTTATTTTGCAATAGCAGAATGGTGTATTTAGCAGCACTAAATAAGCCAGTGGTAGCAAATAGTATGTTGGACATGTGAGAAAATGTAAAATATTTTAAAAGTAAAAGGGAGGTTGTAATGTGAAAGAAAAGCAAATACACCTTCAAAAATATCTTGCTTTTGCAAAGAGCCTGATTCAGGTTTAACTATTTATAGTATCATGACTGCAAGACCTTTCATGGGAGAGATGTGCAGATTCACACTATGATTGAACTGTCCCTGGCACTTCATTGAGCTGATTATGGGGCTGTGCTGTGGCTGGATCTCATATCCATGCTCCTGCTATAACACTTAGGACCATAGCCAAGATACACCCCATAGCAAAATCCAGGTTTGTCAAGTAGAGGATTAGACATTAAGTGTTGGACAGTGGCACCATGCAATTTCTTGGCTGGGCTGTAAATGCAGTGTAGACAGCCTCACTCTGTTAGATACAAATCAATGTCATAAACTGCCTCAAGACCTGTGCATTCAGGTGGGCTCAATATAGTTTTTCCTCTTGCCAGAAAACTTTTTGGCTGTCTTTGGTCACTCTTCTCATTCTCTGAGTCACCAGTTCTTAGGTTTTGCCATGTAGTTTGAACTGTGTTCCTCGGACAAAGTATGAGAGAGCTGGGCACGTCAAACAAAGTGGAGTACCCAAGTACCGAGAGCGTGTGAACTGTCTGGATCTGTGGCTGATCCGTCTGAATTTGACTGAGAACTAAATACAGAATTTTTAAAAATATATACTTATTGAAATGAAACTGCAATAAAATACAGAGACAAACCTTAGGCTTTTAATAATGATGGAGAGTTTCCATATCTGCACCCAAGCTACCTTTTAGCCCTCACTTAGGTCTAACTGGAGTTTTTCTATGTTCACTTGTTTGCTTTCATTGCCTTGTGTCTGCTGCATCCTTTTTTTCCTCATGTCCTGAGGAGGAGGAAAGAAACACAGAATAAGAGTCTTTGCTAAGATAGAACACCTTTGTAATCCTTATTTGTGTCTTACAAACCTTGACTTTTTCATTTCATGTTATTTGACACTGGGACACCGTGTGACACTGGTTTTTTATTTCTATCTTGCTCTCTTCTGTAGAACTTTTAATTAAAATTTTAGTTGTATAGTACAACTAGCACATCCTGTCTCCAAGATGCTTTACTCTGTTAGGGGCTTCTGGAGGCACAGTAGTAAAACATACATTTGATAACTCTGAAAATATAAATGCACAGTATTCTCAATAAATTTTTAACTGCTATTACTAAGCAGTC